TGAACACAACGCCAGAGGACAAAAAAAACCCAACTGAAATTAGAATTTTGATATCTACTACTACAGCTCTCTGCAAAGTAAAGAGCGCATTGATGCAGGCCTTTTGTGAAATGGGGAACCGTCATAATTTGTAAGCGTGTTAATCAACTTAATGAACTTAGGGGCCTAAGTTTTCGCGTTTCATTGGATGGGTGACAGTAAATTATACTTTATTTTAGCTTTCTGTTCAAGATTAGCAGATTTTCAGTGTCACTGCATCTTGCCCTCCTTCAGTTCTTACACCTCTCACACTGAATAGGTTCACTTGAGCTATTCAAGTTATTACTCTACTTTGAGTTTGAGCATTCATTTTTGTCTTTCACGTATCATGACTCCCAGACTGGTACACATGACAGTCGGTATTCTGGTTCTAGGCCTTTTCTCAGGCTCAAGACAAGATTAATTTTTATATAGTTTATATATGCAGGGGAATAAGATGAAGGGAAAATATAAATAAGTCACACAAGACCCCAGTGCGCCACCCTTTCTGTACATAATCAAGATTGTAAATATTTGGTTAGTGACTCTTACTTGAAATTATCTTCCAAACCCTCAAATTGATGTGAAATAGCCTTGCTTTGATAGATTGGTGGTTTTTATTTCAGCATTCTAGGGTTCAACAGTAGATCTATAAACTACAGTAGTCTCCGCCTAAGATCCCGGTGCTCGGGAGCAAGGAAAAGCGGGATCCTAGGCGAACCGGGATCTTAACCGACGAACCCAGGGAAGAATCTATGGTGACCCATGCTAAGGCTCACAATCTGTAAAATGGTCTCCCTCCACTCTAAAAATGAACTGACGTGATCCCTTGGTTGGTTTATGACATATGGCGAGCAAAAAGTGGTTAACCTTGATGACCTATCACGGTGCATAGTCGGATGTGGCGTGCCATTTTCACATTATTATCCTATCATGAGTCTCAAGATCTGCGCTTATCCAGTTGCCCCTCCCCCTTACCTGTAGAAAATTTATAGCTTTCCATCTCTGACCGAGTCCCCCCGAACCGCCTTTGTCGTTACTCACCATTACGTTGTGAACACACCAATTAAAATTCAGTCAGTCTCCCGAAATCGGGAGTAGAGACAACTGCTGCAATGGTCAGGGAAGAGTTCACGGTTCAATGTGATCCCGCCTGGAGTGAACGTATAGGCCCTACCCACCCAGCGAGTGATGCAAGTTTAGGGGGGAGAGCTCAGGTGTGAGTGCGATGTTCGGGGAAAACAAACGTGTCGGTCAGTTCACACCCCGTTGTGATTCCATCTGGGGCAAACATTGTATCGCTTCATCGAGTTTTACAACGTGTATGTGATCACATTCACGATAGTGGCTGATCTTTAATACGACGGACAGTTTATTGATCTCAACTTTTCACTCTTGGTTGATCGGCTGTCCCGCCTGGGTTTTTGTTCCGCAAATTATGATCTGAAATGCGGGATCTTAGCCGAATGTAGACCTTCAGCGTGAATCAGAGCGGGATCTTAGGGGTGACTTTTGTATAGTAAAAATTCTGTTTTCTTATAACAGCGGGATCTTAAGCGAACCGGGATCATATGCGGCGGGATCTTAGGCGGAGACTACTGTATAATAATAATGGGTGTTTAGCGAAAGTGGGCTTCTGTCACGATCACCCGGAAAGTTCCTCCTTTTTAAAAATTTTGAGTTGAAACCCATGACAAAGCAAATCTAACGATATATCTGCATGACGGTGTGACTAGATCTCATTTTGACTTGCACTAAGTCTATACAATTTACCTCTGGCAGAAACATTTTTTTTTCTTGCTTAATAAGATCGATTGGGGTTTCTGTTGATTGTAGCTTCGTCATTAACCATATTATGGCAACAAGACCAAACTCTTTTCAATTAGGATTAATTTGTGCTGCAAGTGTTTGAGGGTTGTATTTAATTAAGGGATATTTACTTTTGTACAGTCCACGCCGGCTTTAAGCACGGTCATCGGGAGAATGCATAAGCGTGCTTAAATCCAAAGCGTGCTTGAGTGCGAAGTAGACATAATCCATAGATTTTCATCTAGAAAATTTCCCGTGCTATTTCCCGTTGTTTGTAAGTAGGCCTATAGCGGTCCCGCAAAAGTGTGCACTGTTATTTTTACCCGCCATGGTAGTTTTTGTTTGCTTGTTTGTTTTTGTTTTGTGGTTGAATGGGAAATGAAAACTTAATTTAGACGGCCAGTCACGATACAGCACACTAGGCCTACACGCTGCCTGTGCATACCACTGCCGGCTGTGCCACATTCATACCACCGCCTTCATCATCTCACCTCGCGCGTGATACACAATCAGGATTAATGGTTAGCGAGGGTCAAAGGTGAAATCGCAGCCAGCCGCCCTTTCTCGTCTCCCTGACTCTCTTTGTATTTTTTAGTCAGTGTGTAACTTTGCCCTAGGCTAGATCCTATGTCCACGCGTGCGGCTGTGTGCATCTCTCTGCCTTCCTCTCCGCCCGTGTGAGTGTGTGTCTCTATCACTTGCGTTCTCTGTGTTTCTCTTAACACACTCCACTGCTGCGGTGTAGACTGTGTTCGAACTTCGAAGGGTCATTATAAAAGTATTTACTGTCTTGTAATGAAGCGTGCCTGAAGCCGAAGTTACCGTGCTTAAAGGCATGTAATTTATTATATCGCAAAAATTCGGTAAGAGCCGTTTAGCGTGCTTGAGTCTGTAACGTGCTTTAAGCCGGCGTGCTTATAGCCGGCACGGACTGTACTGTGATAACTGACATTCATATGGAATGTCCAGGTTTTCTTGAAATAAATATTTCATCTGTAAGTAATCTTTCTTTTCTGTTCTAAAATGTCAACTTTTCACGTATGTGTTAACTTTTCATTCTCCTAATATATTTGTGTGTTAAAAACAGTTTGAATCTTTTGACATTTATAAAGTCCCCTGATTAGCGCTACTAGTAGTGGCTTTTTTTTCAGATCGTGTTTTTTCAGTGTTTCAGACAACTTCTAGTCACGTGAAGATTTGTTTGTTTTCTTTTCTTTAGGGGGTTGTCTTTTTTTATTCATGCTTGAAGAGTTTTGTGGTAACAGCTTTCCTTTTTGTTGTTGTCAGTAATGACATTTTTCCAGGTTCATCAGTACAAGGCTGTCATTTATGTATGCTACAAGGAAAACAGATATGCTGATATCCCAAGTGTTAAAGCATTTCTTCCTGTGTTGGAGGTGACACCCATCAAAGACATGACTGAGGTGAGCAGTTTGTGTGGACTCTCTAATGGTTGCAATGTTTGTTTTTAATGATAAATAATATTTGTATAGCACTTGAGCTCTTTGCGCTTTACACTGCAGTGTATATATTATTACTCCTGCAGTCCTTAGGACACTTAAAAGCATCTTCAGCTTCCCAGGAAGCATACAGAATAGTATTGAAAAGTACATCAGCACCACAGCAGTAATGGACTGTACTTGTTTTACAACAGGGATCACACCTTTTGTTTGTGTCTAATAACAATTATCAAATAATAATTTGGGGCGGTGGTTAAGACAGTAAAGGTACCGGTAATAATAGCAAAGTGGAACCAACCCGTGATATTTCTCTGACTGCTCACTTAATGGATTGATATACTATACTCTTTAGGTGCTGTTCTTGTACTGTGTGCACGAGGAAATTTATAAAGTCATTATTTTAGTTGGACAAGTAGAGAGGGAGCACAACTAAATCCACCATCCCACCGGTACAGGTTGCATTTCGTAGTTTGGTGGAGAGCCACTCGTGTTGATCATGGCTACTACCTCTTGGGACTCATTCTTGAAAATGATCAATTTATGTCGAGAAGAGAGATTTTTATTCTTCGTTACTTTTTGGCTACTTACGTTGTTTGCACACTCATTGCTTGAAATTTAGAATTGTAACTTTATTTATTCACTAATTGTTACCAACTGTAACTGTAAATTAGAAGTGGTAAAGACATTCAAAGAAAGAGAAGGAAGGCAAAAACAGTCCTGAAGCCCCAAGGATAGCCTTCTGTTAGTGTAGGCCAAGACCAAGATATACATTTTTAGTACACATTTTAGTTTTAGTCTTATGTTGTAAGTTTAATTAAACTCAAGTCTGCCATGATTTTAGTGTTGGGCTTTTGGGGTGAAGAGAGGAGGTAGGGGGACATTGCCACTAGTTTCACAGTGGAAACCTGTTGCGTTGGTGGCCTAGTGGTTAGGCTTTCAGACTCGCAACCGTAATGTCATGGGTTCGAATCCCATCTGGGGGGACCCGCCATTGTGTCCCTGGGAAAGGCACTTTACACGTATTTTCCTCACTTCACCCAAGTGAGAATGGGTACCCAGCTATAGACAGTGAAAGATCTTGTCAGTTTGATAGTGTTTGAGTGCTTAATCAGCTGCTTGCACTGTATGCTTCCCGGGAAGCTCAGAATGTTTCGGAGTGTTCTTCGGTCTGCTGGGGTAATAATATAGTGTGTAAAGCACATAGAGCTTGCTGTAGAGTGGGGTTATGCACTGTACAAATGTTGTCTATTACTATTATTATTATTACTGTTTGATTTTGATCAGTGAACATATTTTTCACTGGTTTTGTGTCTGTATTGGGACTGACATTTCTCATACTCATACGTTATACATACAGCATTTTAAACGGTTCATTCCTTTTAAGTAATGTCTTGATTGTTTTCTTCATGTATAGCTATTGCTAGTGTGTCACAACTTTCACACTTTGTTGGAAATCTTGCTTCAAGTTTGAGTGTATTCCCCTGACTTTTGACTAATTTTTAAATTTATATCTTGTTTTCTTTCGATTAAGAACACAAACAAGATGTTAACTCTCTTCTGAGTTTCTTCCAATATGGAAAAGACCTACTGTTTTGAAAGAAAATCTCATACATAGAATTATCTTCTTGCCTTATTTCAACATCTTTTTTTTGGTACTGTTTCAGCCCAACAAAAAAGCTGAGGACATGTTGAGAGACATTGTTGAAAAGCATCAAATACACGACATGCTGTATTTATGATGGCGTGAACAAAGTTTGAGGTTGTGGAAGTGAAATGAAAGAAGTATTCGTTTGTCCTGTTGTGAATGACGGAATTCGCTGCATTGTTTTTAGTATTGGAAATTTTTCGGATTCACTTTCAGAGGTGGGTCCTTTGTTTCAAAACATGAACAAATATCAATTATGACGCTCTTGAAGTGGAAATATCATGTGTATTGTGATTCAGTGGGACTTAGGTTAGAGATGCGAGACAATAACTAATAACTGAGTTTGCGAACTTTCTGGCTAGCATATTTATAAGTGCCACAGCCTCAGCCTCTGTTCTAATTGTCAAGCAAAGTGTGAAGAAGTCTGAAGATATGCTTCACCTACATAACTTAACATTGTGCTTGAGCCTGAAGTCACTAAGCCCTGTGCCCCTTGGTATGTAGTAGTTTGGATAATAATGTAATAGTAAGTTACAAGTGGGCAGCGTTCTCTGCCAATATGCCAGGTACAGCCAATGCTTTTATCAAACTAATGTGGAAAAGTGAAAAGCCACAAAGGGGTGAATAAAGCTTGACCAGCTTGAATTTGACAGCTTAATTCTGTATAGTTACGATATACTTCTGAGAAGATATTGTTTGTTATTGATTCAAGGAACTCATTAATTTGCCATTGTTATTTTTTATACCGCGATGCAAATAAAATCTCATGGAAAATTTTCATACAAGTGTTGTATGTAGTAATGTTTTTAGAAAGATTGATTTGTAATCTATACCTTTAGGGTGCTTTGTTCTCTATCTTTTCCATCTTTTGTGAGTAGAGACTTCTTGATAAGTGGTTTGCTGTTTCTGTGCGGGTGGTTGGTGGGCGCTCTGGTCTGGTCTGCTTCTAGGTTTACTTTCTCTTGTGTATTTTCTTACTATCATTCTGACATGCTTCCCATTGGAATTTGACATATGTTACACAATGCTATATGTTGTACCAACACTAAAGAGCAAATCAGCTGTACTTAGCAGTTATGTTTTCTTTCCCTTTAAATTTGTCTGAGAAAGAGAAGCTCATTGACATGATAGTAGTCAACTAATGATGGGAAAGTGCAGGACAGACAGAAATGGAGGAGCCGGGAGATCATTGGTTAAGAAGCAGGACATACCAGTGACATCCTCCAACCATTCCTTAACCCAACCCAATTATTAGTATTAAAGCAGGTTCTTTTTCCAGTGAATAGTAAGCAGACTGAACAAATACTGATGGTTGTTACTTGTGATGTGTTCCCCCATTGACATGATGCAGATAATTTTGGACTTCAGTACTGTCTTTCAGGGTCCATTTAGGTAATCCAATGTCCAAACAGAGGGACTGAAATACTCGATGACTCACAATAAAATATAATTCCTTTTGTGGGAATCGTAACTCATTGCTTTCAAAGCGAAGAGCATAACCATTGCACCATATATACACAAATAATTGAAAAGTACACTAAATATATTCCTAGAGTGTATGCATTACCCAACAGAGTCATTGTGATCAATGCATATAGGTGTGTACACCTCCTGATTAAGATGACACATTACATAACATTTTTACATATTTAGTCGTTGGTAGCATTCGTTTGTTGCCTCAATAGATGATGGCGTTACAAAAAGTTAGACCATTGAAAAGTCCAGTTTCTAGAACGCAAGTCAGGGCCAGTCTAGGTTGCATGCGACTGGGACACATTCCAGCAGGAAGGCGCTGAGGTACTGGAAAATATATGTGAGGCATCATGGTGAAATCAGGCGCTCCTCAAAATAATGAAATACAAGAAAAAGGCACCAGTTTGGCAAATTTATCAAAATTTAGTTTTTTGGCTAGACACCTTTTATGTTAATTTGAAAACACATTTACCTGTGAATTTTAATGAAAAATGTTTAAGGGCACAAAATATATATTTTTCAATTTTCAAGGAATCTTCAGCTATTGAAGTTACCAAACTTTGACAGATATTTTCTCATTAATTTTACCACTGAAAGCAGGCTACCCTGCTTCCTTCAATCGCAAATATTTCGACTTCTTTTCAAGCTAGATGGATATTTTTGTTACAGAATAAGCTTTCAAATGATATCAACAACAAAAATTGACGAGCGCCAGGTTCCACCACGTCATGACACATATCTTCCCCACACAGGGGGTGAAGTTAGGTCCTCCGACACCATTACACCATATGCCAGTAACAAACGCTACACATCTCGGTTGCTTTGAAAAATATATTTGTGAGGCGTGCTGACAAAATAAGTTACTTTTCAGATTTTAGCCCCATGGAAATTGATGTGTTCAAAATTGTATTGCAGGTGGGGTTTGTACAATTCATAAGTATGAAATAATAAAGTTTATTAAACTTAAAGAAAATGGCATCAATTGAAAATCTACTCATTTGACCCCAGAGTCAATTTTTTGACGATATCTCCATAGCGGATTGCGACTAGTAACTCATTTTATCAACATGCCTCTTATTTTAAAATTATGTTACGATAATTGACAATGGAAAACAAGACGTTATGAAAACTTTACACAGCAGTACAAATATTTGAGAGAAGAAAATCATGTTTTAATTCATAGAAGAACAGGGAGCTCATATCATCACATGCATCATCCATTTTTGCTGCTGAACACACTCTACATTTGCACATAATTTTTTCAACGAATATTACCCAAGAAAAAAAGAAAGTCAAACTCTTTATTTCTGTTGTTAAACAAACAAAATTGAATCGTTTTGGCAACCTACTTATTCATCTCTGTAACCGCTTCTTTCCACTTTGAATAATTAATAAGTACACTAAACTTACTCCTACATAAAACAAGAACATATTGTGAACTAAACTTACTCAGAATTAGAATATATTGTGAATTGCCTATTTGAGAAGGGAATGTTAATCGCACAAATTTTTATGAGCACTATAAATTCCCTATATATGGCATTAACGGAACTGAACATGCATTCTGTTCTCAAACATGACCATACAAATTCGAGTCGTGACTCTTGAACATCAATAATTCGCTTTGGATGCTTAGGATTAACTAAATCAAATGTTGCTTGAAAACTAAAAGAGAAAGAAGGTGGCCACTGCATGGCAAAAAAAAAAAATCTAGCAATGTTAAAGTACACACTCGAATAGGAAATAATTGTACTCTTCTTGCAGCACCGATCAATCGGTACAGCTATTTGATCCCAAGACCATACAAATCAAAAATTGAAACTAAAACTTGGGCTCAAACTCGAAAACAAATTATCTGATTACTTGCCACCCATTGTTTCCATCTATTTTATAAACTGAGAGAAAAAGAGAATGATAATATTTTTGTAACAGAACATAAAAACCAACTATAAAAACCTGAAGCTCTTTATTCATAGAAAATGTATCAAGATGGAGAACAACCTTTTGGGAGAGGTAGGCCTATCTGTTGAGCAAAATCTATTCATTTATAAATCTAAAGGTGGTATCATTAAACAAGAAGTTAAAAATTCTTCAAAAAGCAAGGAACTGGTAATATTGATACCTGACAATTTCAGAGCAGAAAGAAAATATAAATAATAAAACGATTTTGAATTTTTTTTAAATAGGAAAAATGAATAACTCTTTTAAAAAACCATCCTTCAATTTTCATAATCTAAGTAAAACATACTTGCCTCAAATGACATCAGCACTCATCAGTAAACAAAAACATACGTACCATAGCACATGCCAGTACAGCATTATGAGCCAACAATGAATGACAATAATACACAATTAATGTAGTCAATGTAGCAACAGATCATTGGAAAGAAAACAAAAAAATCATTTTTTAGACTGCACTGGTTGAGCCCCTCAGTTTTGAAGAAAACGGTGCAGAGACAGTGGTTTTTCATGAGCAACAAAAATGTAACAAAAAAACTTTCACATTACATACACCTTAATCATACTATCCTTTCTCAAATTAAATGATGTTCTTTGAAGTAGTTGCATGTTCTAAAATGCGAAATGGTATAGGTTTAACACTGTTAGGTTATTAAATAAGCGGATGTCTGTTCTTTAATACTAATAAACACAATTGAATGTACATGTACCTGATTGGTAAGTCAGTCAATATACATGTATGTCCTATTTTATACTGACATTCACAGACTGCACTCTGTAGTTTAACACTCTGATCTAAAGCAGAGAAAAATTAAAAACTTTGGACATTATTTCAGTAACTCTCTCACTGAACAGATAAGAAGTTACAGCTGAGTTCGCTTAAACTGACATAACTTTTTGGTTTAGAAATTATAAGAGAATTTCAACAGACCAATAGTTTTCTTACAAAGACAAAAAGGGAACAAAATTCAAAGACCTATTTTTTAAAATATTAACCGTGTTAATTGTATAATGAAAATGACAAAAGGGACACAGGCATAGTCAAATTAACTTACTATACAGGACCTAAATAAATACAAAGCAAATAATAAGACATCAGCAAAGGAATTAACTTTCACAGACAGGAGGAAGGAATGTGTGTTGGTCACACAGTCTGTAAGAATATAATAAGAAATCAAATGTTAATAACTTACCAATCCTGTCTCTTTTGATTCACTTTCTTCGTTTAAGTTCAACAAAACTCAGTATAATCAACGATGAAAACTGAGTCAATTTAACGAAACAGAAAGATATACAACAGTGACAAGAACTAACACTTATAAGGAATTTATGACCTCACGAAACACAAAAAGTTTATTGTGAAAATGGAGCACTTGGTCCTGTTATTATTAGAATAGGGGGAAAAAAAGAAGAAAGGGACCGAGAAGATGCACCAAAGTGTGTACTTGAGGGAACATTTCACCATTGCTAGTAGTGTTGTATCTTGTGTTGGAGAGCAGAGAAGTTATTTTTAGCTCCCAACACTCAAGGAGTGGGGGGATGGGAGATGGGCAGGAGAATAAAAACAGAAGCTAAACCATACACAAAGCTGACAGAATAACATGATTAATAAATAATGAAGGTACAGTCTAGCACATGCATAATGAACAGATTTCAGAGCCCAAATATTTTCTTACACATGTATATTCTTTGTACATAATGCATTCAACATAATGAAATAATGCATAAATAACAAAAAGATTTCTGTGTCCTGCCAATTTTGCCATGTGCGTGCCAGCCTGTTCTTAAATTGAGATAAGATATGCTTAAACAACTCAACCCAAATGACTGGAGAACATAACTCATTTCATACCTTGCACACATCAGACACCATTTATTTGTCACAGAACCATAAAAAAGTATCAAATACAAAGCTTTCCACTCTGACATAACACAGCACAGTCTCAGAATCAACAACAAAAAAACCCAATGTGTATGGTTCAGGGCTCTCTACCACCCACAGATAACACATTCTAAACATTACCCGCATTGAAAATGCAAGATCCATGAAAACCCGGTTCATACTTTCTATCCAATACTTGCCATTTTTTGCATGTGAAATGAAATTTCAAATAATTTGAAGAATTTTATTCAAATTCAAGGAAAGATTGAAAATGTCATGCGCTAAATAAGAACTAATTATGAGAAGAATGACGTGCATTATTTAGTTCTGAACCATAACGACTGCAAGCTGTTAAAATGTACTAAGCCCAAAAGGCAAAATTTTGCTATACTGGGGAGAGAAATCACTATTTCATTCTTTTAACTATTGTCTGCATTACCTAGTTTTTCTTGCTTCTTTTAACATCCAGAATTTGAATTTGGACAGCACATGCAACCGATAAAACAGATTTAGAAACTGCAAATAAAAAATAAATTGAAAATTTTGAGTTTAGCATATGTGAGGCAGCGTGGTGAAATCAGGCGCACGTCAAAATAATGAAATTGAAGAAACTGGCAATTTTCTATCAGTTTGGCAATTTTTGTCTAATTTTTGTTTTTTGGCTTAACACCATAGTTATCCAATTAAGAACACATTTGTGTGTGAATTTTTACTGAAAAACGTTGATTAAAGGCACAAAAAAGTAAATTTTCAGTTTCCACGGACTCTTAAGCTAAGAAAATAACTAATCTTTGGCGGCCCTTTTCTCACTAATTTTACCTTTGAAAACAAGTGACCCCCACCTCCTTCTTTTGCAAATATCTCGACTTGTATTCAAGATAAATGGATATTTTTTTTCATCCTAATAAAGACAAGTGAACAAAAAAAACACAACCCCCAATTAATTTTTAAAAATAATTGTCACTAAATGAACAACAACTAATCAGCTCTCTTCTTTGCAGGGAATGACAAAATCTGAGAGTACCAAAATAATTAAATGTGTCTCAGTCTAGCTGGTTGCATCACGCATACATGCACACTCTCACAATCACATATTTATGTCTCCCAATATAATATTGGTGTCCATCCCAAATCACATAACTGCAAAGGTTCAAAATTGGGGAGTTGGCAACTTACTGCCCGCTGACTAAAGGAAAATAGATAAAGAGAAGTAGCCAAGTATTTGTCATATCCATGTAACTCATCTAGAGTTAATGAAGGTGCATTTTAACTGACAATTTTTCACAGTTGAAAGGTTTTATGTTAATGGCACTTCAGAAGTCCACCATCCACTCATTAATACACTGGACCAGAGATTTTCACACTGTATGCACACAGCCCCATGTCAACATCTTAAAGATTTAAAAAGTATGAAATGAAATAACATATATCTGTTGATGATACCCAAATGTACATCTTTGGAAATAAAGAAGACATTCCAAACTTTGTGGACACAACTTTTAATACATTCAAAATAAATCAATCTGGATGGACAGCAAAAATTATCTTAAACTGAATATAAAGGTAAATCTGAGATCGTGCTCATTGAACACACCATTATTATAAAATGTCTTCCAAGCTTCAAAATTAATGTCAATGGTCTTGAGAATGAGCCCAGTGGTAAAGTTAGAAATGAACGAATTATTTTTTATGATGATCTGTCCTTATCTTCTCATAAGAGTTCAGTTGGCAAATAGGCTATTTTTACTTTCAATTGAGCAGAAAGAGAAAAAGAGGAATCTATGTTCTTTGCATTACATGTACTGTAAAGCACATTCAGCACTTTCCTAGAGAGTATGCTAAATACAGTTCATCGTCATTATTCAACCCATGGCTTGGCCTGCAGAAGCAAAAACGGTTAACGATTAACACAAAACAATATACAGAAACCTGATCTGAGACGCACACCTTGGACAATTAATCAGCGCACTTGGTCAGACTACTGTGTCTTTTTATCCGGCTGGTCGTGAAGAGCCCTGAGACGGTCCAGAAGAGGGGGATGGGAGAAATGCCATGCAGAGTAGAGCCAGTCGCTGAGTGGGAAACTCAGGTTATCCTCGTTCAGTTTGATCAAGGCCGAGCGAAGAGTGTCACTCCAGCCCATCCCTGCAGCAAAGGCGTCCGCTTGGAACTCGCACTTACGCGTCATGTACGTCAAGACAAATGACAGAACCTGGGGATGGATAGCATTATTACAATAAAAATATAAAACACTGAAATACTGTGTATAGCATATTTTCATTTTCTAATTTTCAGCACAGAATATTTTGCCTTTAACAGAACCAATCTCAGTTTTCTAATAACTATGTGCTAGAACCAGTCGAAAAAAAAGTGTCACATTACCATTATCTCATAGTTTAGACAACTCACGAGTCTCATGTATCGGCATTGCAATTTATAAATAATCAGAACAGAGTAATAGATGTTATGCATAAGGTATATATGCAGTATATGTAGTATATGAAGGAACCCCAATTTCTATACACAGAAACCAGTCATTACACACAGGTTCCAAGGGCCACATCTTCCAATAAGTTGCATAAATTAAAATGATAAACAGGGAACTATCTTGGTGTAGAGGTACAGTGTTAGCCTCTCATTCAATAGGTTCGGAATTCCAAATCTGACAGCGGCAGAAACACTTTTTTCACCTTACCTGTTCTCAAGACATGTTCTGACATCTGCTTTCATCTCCAGTTTCTTCTAATACAGATGATTCTGCTTAGATAGATAGTGCACTAATTCATAACATCACCTTTAAAACTTCACTAGCGGGTGATGGGCAGGCACTTTTGTTTGGTAAACTTCTTTCCTTTTAAACATCATCCTCATCTCTCCTCCTTCCTTTTTTTCTTGTATTTCAAGCGCTGTAAAACTCTTATTACAGCTAAAAACCTTCACTGACAATCTCATTTGCTCCCACCCGATTCTGATTATCTCTATTTGGTAAAACTAAAAGAAATTACATGATTACCTCATTATATGGTGCCAAAATAAACTGGAATATGATGATCAGTCCTATCATGGTTGGCTGCACATCAAATCCAAAGGCGGCAAACAAAACCTTCTCTTTCATCAGTACAGCAAATATGCCAAAGCAGAGAAACATATTAATCTGTGGAAATAGTAGAAAGGAAAATGCAACACATTTTTTTAACAGAGACGGTCAGCAAAAAAAAAAATGTGTATGAGACAGAGAAAAATAGTAGAAATTGTCCAAGACAGCCACCAATTGTTGAATAGAAGGTGGTTGTCTTAGAAAGGTGAACATTTTGGACAGTGTCACTATAACATTTTTTAACATTTAAGGTGGGAGGTGGTCATTTATACAGGCGAGGGGGGAGGGGAATTACATACACAAAGAAGAAAAAGAAGACATAAAGATGTTAAGTTAGTTTTAGTAGAGGGTTTTACGGCGCTCGCAACTGCATAAGGTCATATGAGCGCCAAGGGGAGGGTGTCAACAGAGAAGTCTTTACAGGGAATCAAACTTACTCTGCTCACCTCTCTAGCTTCAACAGCACAAAATCTGCTTTGACTATCAAGGCACCCCGGAAATAGCAGGTCACAAGAGTGTGACAAACATACAAAAGAAGTAGAGGAATGACAATAGTAAGGATTAGGAAAGAAAAAGCAGCAGTTCCCTGTTGTAGATCAGGTACAGTTATGAGCGTGACATGATGAATCAGCTCATATACATTCTACTGTACACGAACGAGAAATGTCCCCCCCCCCTTTGGGAATGGCCTAAAGACACTACAGTCAGTGGCACTGCCCCGGGGGGGGGGGGGGGGGGGGGGGGGGGAACATAAGGATGATAGATGTTTGATAGGAAAAAAGGAGCAAAGCACACCAGAGTATCTACCATGGGTTCAAACCCATGACCTTTTGGTTGTGAGCACCTGCCAACCACTCACTTCCTTTCTTCATGGAGCTTGTTCTAAGCCTGTGCAATTTGGCTTTTGTCGTAATTTCTACGAATTTCAAACTGAGTTAAGACAGTCAAATGAAGACAACTGAACAATGGGGAGAATTATAAGAATGCACAAAACAGTACAGTTAAATTACAATAGTAACATGACAATAGTAACAACACTAAAAGGTCGCATTAATAAAACACATTTTTAAAGGGAGACACCTCAAACCTTTAACAACAAAAAATACAAGTGTACCTGTACACCTATTCCACTGCAAGAAATTTCAAGATATAAAACCACAATGCCATTGAGATGAAACCCAAGGCTCAAAAGAACAGAGGAAGACGACTAAACCCAGGTGGGCATGGGTACGTACCTGGCAAAAGATCTTATTAGTTTATTATTTTTTTAGCGCTTAATCAGCTGCTTGCACTGTATGCTTCCCCTGGAAGCTGAGAATGTTTCTCAGTGTTCTAGGGTCTGCTGGGGTAATAATAGTTGTAAAGTGCATGAAGAATCCTGTTGAGCATGGATATGAACTGTATAAATGCAATCATTATTATTATTATTAGGAATAGTTGATAGCCTATACTCCTCAAGAAGTTAAAAGGCAAGAGAGAACACTTATTCACCAACGGCAAAAAACAACACAAGCATGGTCTCTTTTCTCTCTCTTTTTTGGATCACCTTATAAAACTTTCAGTACCAGCAATATTACCTGTGAGATAATGAGCTGCTTGAGAACATGGCTGTGGTACCAGTGACCCAATTCATGACACAGGACAGCAAGCACCTCCTCGTTGTTGCAGCCAACTTTCTTCTTTTTCTTTTCTGCACTGTCTTCCTGGCTCTTCGCCTGATCTGTCTCCTCAGCCCCTTCAGTCTTATTGTCATCTGTCCTTTGCGTGTCATTCTCCTGGTCCCCAGAATTCGACTCCTCTGCCTGCGAAGAAATATGTCAAAAGAGCAGTGAGCACAGATAGAATATGTATGTATAAAATCGTAAGAAATGCTACTCTTAAGTCAATCAGCTGTATCAAATAATGGTCCATCTGCCATGGATTGTCACTTCCTTCAAATCTGTTGAAAAATTATCTATTCCTCCTAAAGATTGACAGCAATTTTTTACAATGTGCTATTGCTATCTGTGTTGTTTACCTGACACTATGTAATGTGACTCAACTGAAGTCAGAATATCATTATCTCACTTTTCAGCTATAATTAAAGCCTTGTGTAAAGGACAACCCCTCTCTGTCAGACTTCTCAGTTCTTCTATGGTATTGAACCGATAACTTTGACATCCTTTTTTTAAAATTCATACTATAGTTATCAGATAATAAAAGTGACAATTCATGGACTTGGTCTAAAAAAAAAGTTTAATAATCAAACAAGAAAATATCCCAGCAAAATTTAAAAAATGAATCTTGTTTAGTTTTTTAAAAAGTCAAACAGCATTTAAGTGCCGAAGATTAGAGGTATTACAAGTGAGTAACATACAAAGAAAAGAAGCAGGAGAGATAGGGATGATAGATGGTTGCTTGGAAACAAGAAGCAACCGCACCAAAGCATACGCCAACAACCAACAATAAAAGATCTTAACAGAAGCATACACGATTAGGAACTGAAACATCAAATTTCATTTAATGAATCTTGGGCTTTCATATTATGATCCTTCACTCACCTCAAAATGAACAAAACAAACTAAAAAGGCAAAAAAAGACTATTACAATTTCAGACTCTGAGGGAGTGTTCTTACATTTACCTTTGTTTTATCTTCTTTCTCCTCTTCTTTATTAGCAGGGGCATAGTCCTCCAAGAGAGTGTCAAAAAGGACAATACGTTTGTTGTTGAAAAAGCCGTAGAAGTATGCATTACTGTGAGAGGACCTCTTGGAACCTAAGGAAAAGGGGAGAAATCACCCCACCATCAACAAAGGTATAAAAAATATCAACAACAAATTATTTCTGAAGGTGTATTTGTAAGAGTATACAAACATAGAAATGTAAAAGAAAAACACTGCGCAAAACTCTGGATCAGAACAACAAGAAAGTAGCCTAAAAATATTACTTAAAGCACAGAAAAGTGCCTTTTAGAATGGCTCTTCCACATCCACCCACAAAACAATCAAACTGTGCTCCAGCAGAGTTCTATGACATACAGGAAACTTTTGTAGGAGAGTTGCAAATTTCTCATTTCCAAAACATAATATGGAGGGCACCGTTACCGTTACCTCAGTTGCTATTGAGTTGGGCTTTGGAGCAATGGCCTTTGTTCCATACCCCAAAGAAGCATTCTGAACTTTTGTTGTTCTGGAAAGCTTTAAAGGCTCTCCACCCACTTGGCTTGGTCCCATAACAGATGAATGTTAATTCAGAGGTACTGCCTCTTGAATAACTTTACAGTGTTGAAAGGGGCATTAAACCTATACAATGACCTATGAATATAACATGGGTTATGTATTAATACAGTCCAACCTGTGTAAGACGGCCATCCATTTTCAAGGACAAAAGTGGCCGTTTAAGACAGGTGGCCATCTTAGGCAGGACTGATCAAAAGGAAGAAAATAAACCATTCCCCTCTGAGGTCCCAAGTCCCAACCGAAGGTAGCCACATTGCCGTTGTCGCTGTTGTTTTTGTCATCATTTTTGTTGTTGTTTTTGCTTGCTTGTTTTTTGTTAGCTTTTTTTGTTGCTGATTTTGTGCAAGGGTGAAAATAAAATGAAATGTCAAACAAGGAAGATCGAGTGCCATGGTAAAACAAACACATGGGTCACCACCAATCGGAGAACAAGTGATGCTTCTGTCACATCACAAGTTCATGTTGATGTCCATTATTACTTTGTTACAGGCTGGGTAAACAGTGACCTCTCATTTCACTTACGATTTGTGTATAAGTTGAGGACAGGGCCTATGGGTTATGAGGAATCACACACATCCCTCAGCAGCAGCTGAAAATTCATTGTTACCTGTTGGTCAACAGTGGGAGGGACCTACGCAACATGATACGATGGAGAGACTACCTAACCATACCACAGGTGATTGAATTATGACGGCTCGTCCACAACATCAGTGGTCAATACATAATTTATGACAAAGCGTTGGGCTATGAGAGAGGTGGCCGTCTGAGACAGGCGTTATTGTTTGATGTGTGATAAAATATGGTGGCCACGGCCGCATTGGACAGATGACCGTTTTACATAGTGAAATTATATAGAAAAACACGAAAGGGGAGAAATTGGAAGTGGCCTTTTGTACAGACGGCAGTATTACACAGATGGCCGTCACGGCAGGTTCAACTGTATTTAGATAGCCCAGGAGCTGGTACCAATTCAAACTATCAAAATTTTGAACATGTGATTGTTCTCTACAACGCAAAATGATAATATCAATGCAAAAAAAAAAAAAAAAACCCCACATTAACAGTTTGAATCAAGACAATTAATGCCTTTGTAACATAAGGCTTTTTCACTTTTTACAGCGCCCAAGTTTTGCTAGCCAGTACAGTAAACAGTTACAGTCCTTTTGCAGTCCCTTTCAAATTCAAAATTAAAGATTTTTATGTGATTTGTATATTTTCATTACCACAAATTTCAAATCTTTTAATATTTTTCCTGTAAAATATCGTTAAAATCTATTGCAGAAAAGTTAATAATATTATGGTGCACTTTAGGGCCTACAATGTACGGGAGGATGGTATCCTGGCTCTCTTCTTTACTACTGTTTCTTCCACAGCAAGTTTGCCTACTTGAAATCTAAACCAGATATTTTGTAAACACTCTCCCCCTACACCTCCTACATCTACTGCTTTTTTTGCTCGCGACCATGAAAGATGGGAGGGCCATTACAGAAATTACACATCAACCTCTGAGTCAGAGATGACACCTCCAGGTATCCAGGTATGCAGAAAAAAAGCGCACTTGATTTTCAAGTTCTTTTCCCTCTACATCATTGGTAAGCAATCAACATATTTTTCCAGAACATATCCTGGATACAGTTGGGCATAGATAACACAAACACCTCAAAACTCAGCATCATAGATAGCTTGTACAATGTGCCATTCCCAGCCTGTACCGCTGTATTTTCTTTATATTGGCAACACTGTTTTCTAAAACACCTGTATGAATCTCATCTTGAAAAAACATAAAACTTTTCCTGCTAATTGTCCCAAATGAGGATCTCCTGATCTAGAAGTATGGTGTTCGCCTCTCATTCAAATGGTCCTCGGATCAAAACCTGACAGCAATGAAAAAATGTTCTTTTCTAAAATGATCACCTTTCACCTTCTTTCCTGTTCTCTAGTCCTGTTTAGTCATCTGCTTTCACCCCCCCCCCCCCCCTTTGTCTTTCAGCCACAGCCCTGACCCTAGGGTAGGTTGTTATCGATCCAGGCATCCCAGAGTAGGTAAGATTGTACACCTAGCCTTCTCAGATACGGGTAAAAATCTTGGAGGTCTTGTGAGCAAGTTCCGTTCGTTTAAGAACCAAAAGGTGGTCCCAAAATATAAAGAATGGACTTCAACCACCACCTTTGCAAGATTCAAAATTAATTCCTATCAAAACTGAAAATTCTTTAGTAAGTATAAAAACACATAGAGTATGTTTGAAATTGGAATGCAGCTGCCTGAAACCAAGGAGTCTTAAGAAGACAATAACATACGTAAAAATCAGTTACACTGCAGTTTAGAGATCCAACAGCCATTGTCTCAAATTCAAATCACCCTTTGTACACGATGGAAAAACGATACACCCCTCGTCACTGAGAGTATCAGGTTACACAAGCCCACTAAGCTTGCACATTACTTGAAGGAAGGCACTGGAAGTGTTTTGAGTCTTATCATGTGAGAGTGGGTGTTGAGTGGTAGTGTGTAATCGAAGACAGACAGTTTGACGCTGTATGGCGGGTGAATTATGTTTGTGTTTGCGTGCATGTGGGTGTATGTGGGGGGAGGGGGGGGGGGGGGGGGGTTGTGTATACATTGTTTGAACGCGAAGGTATGGATCGGGAAGAGATAACACAGATCAAATTACATGAGATGAATGGGCGGAGTGCTCTGACCAGTATTGACATCATCGTGATCATGATCTAATATACAAACAGAAATTTTATTTTAGTCGTAAGGCTTATCAGCAACACTCTCTTTCTTACTCTTACTTCGGCACCGAACAAGGCCCATGCACTATCTTTTTATTGATACTCAGTACTTTTCATGATGGACCAGAAGAGTAAACCTAATTGAAATTGTTCGACGACAGAAACCAAGTGTCAGATTTTAGCAGAGATTGACAAGAAGCCCTGTGCTAACAAAGAAATTTGTACGAGATTTTAAATCCCAAAATCACCACTTTCCACATTTCTAAAAAAATCAACATAAAAATCGAAAACGCCAGCATTTGATGTTTACCAGAGAGAAAGCAAGTGCGCTTCACCAAATTTGAGAACATCAAGCAAACACGTGCCATGTCTCTTCCTATCTCTGGTCCCATTCTGAAGACAAAAACAGACAAAATGTGAAGGAATTTGGCCTAGACTTCACATGCAACTTAGAACAGTTGGACAGATTTTAAAAAGAGGCAAAGAATAACTAGAAATGCTGTGTGCAGCAAACCTGCTACAGTAAATCCGTTACAGTGATATATTTTCCAACTATTGTACCATCAGTTATTTCTCTTGATTTTCTTCAATATTCCTAATTTTTCATTTTATCAGTTTACCCGAATTATAGATGTGTCGAACACATTTTGTCAACTCCGACGTGTTTGAGTTTTCTGTACCTGACTGTATTTGGTAATAAAATTATATTGAATATATTAGGTAGCGTAAACACGGCCTCGCGGGCACTCTCGGCCTTCCGACCGCGTGGTATCAGTGAAATCGGGGTAATTCCGATCGCTGTTTCTTTGCTCTTTCGCTATAAAACACCAAATGCCGTACACGTTGTAAAAGTTCAGCTTTTCTTCGTTACAATTGTGTAAGTTGATTATATGTCCAATTATTAGGAGCTGGAGAATCGCTGATGAAAGTGAAGCCCCTCGCGGTCGGAATGCGTGGTCGGCCGGTTGAAAAATTGACACGCGTGCATTCAACTGCTTCGCGGAACGAGGGATGATTAAATACCGTCTTTTCATTGGCGGAGAACTGTAGAGCTTTAAACGAGCTTTCCCGTGATATATGTTTAGCCTTTGGCGTCTAAATAGAAAGCTTTTAAAAATGCCGTCAAAATGTTAAAAGATCACTTTTTACTCAAAATATGTAAAATACCGGCTTATAAAAGGTATTCATTAAAAGATCAGTTTATTTCCTATTAGAATAAAGTAATTAACTTGGAATTATTTTACATCAATCCTTACGCGAAACTCGAAAAGCATGTGACCCCGCACGCGTGGTACACTACAGTATAGAGCCGACTCGCTCGCCGCGGGGGCTGGTGCGGCGCCGGCCGGGTCAACGCTCGGTGTTTTTGTCGAAATAACTACAGATCCTCGTGTTTGAGGCGATAAAATACAGATTTGTAATGATCTCACAGTCTTGAAAAAAATTAGGTTCCATATATTTGTTATAGTGATTGTACTCTGATAATGTGGAGATGTTTATTGCTCTTGGTACTTTTTTATTGTCTGTCAAACATGCAGGTTGCAGCCAGTGACTGACTTTAACAAATTTGATCAAATTTTAAACAACTACAATTTTCTTTAAAATTGACGGAGACGTTAAAGAATGGTACCAAAATGCTCAGTGGATATAGGCCTTTCAAATGGAACAGATAAATTTGGCATACAGCCAGTTTGAAAATTTAGTTTCTGGTACCTAAATATATACAGTCGACTATAGATGAGCTGATGTCATTTGGGGAACAAAAAAAGATTACACTTATATGAAGTTCAATTTAACCGTTCGGATCTGTAAAGAAAAAGAGGTGCTCGGACCTGAGAAAAAGATCAACTTAACTGAAGATCAACTCAAGCGAGCTGTTCAACACAAGTGGAGTCGACGGTCAAAACCACTGCACACATTGAAATTATCAACATCTATAAACTGTGTCAAAAAAATAATAAAAACCCTCTCAACTTCTGTTCCAGAAATGGAGTATGCATTAATTAAATCGTAAAAGAAAGTAAGAGCTATCGACCGTTTAGACAATACATAAAAACCAAAAAACCTACCTTCAACAACAAAGAGTTTCTTGAGCGGGAAGTTGATGCTGAGGGCTAACTCCTCTATACGAGTCCTGAGCTCCCCCTCTGGTAGTGGTGTGAACTTGTCAAACAGTGGCGCAATGTAGTCAGCATACACAGTCACAAGTAACTGCACAGGATAATATTATACGATAAGATAGATATATTGACCCCCACAAAGAGAAATTTACTGCGGCATGGTAAATATATTGTACATAGATGATGCACACACATTTATCAACAAACACACATGCACACTCATACCCCCCC